CTGTGGGGTTTGCCCATACACACAGTGTATGGGATGCTGTGTGGTGGGCTTACCCCACTGAGTGGGATTTGTTCCAGCAGGCTTGTGCCTGTTGAGGCTGCCTTCTGTGTGTGCCCTTTGTGGGGCAAATTGAATGGTGCTCTGCTGTGGCCTGAAGCCAACCTCTAAGTATATTGGTTCTGGGGCCTCTTAGGAGGGGCTGTGGTGCAGGCTCAGTTTGCCCACTGCTTGTGACTGATCAGGGCCTACATGGCAGGAGCTATAGAGCAATCCACAGTTGTTTGTTGCCTGTGGTAAACCTGGAGGCACACGGGAGAAGCCACACTCCACCGAGGATGTTTGCCACCAGTACCTGACCTGGAGTAGCTCCGCAAAAAGCCAGAACACCCTGAGGCCTGCTGCCACCTGCTGGCTCCCTTAAGGTTGAGCTGCTGATAAAGCCTCTTGTGGTAAGTAAGTTGGGCAAAGCAGGGTCTCAGGGAGTCACTAGAGTGCAAAGAATTGTTTTCACCAGGGTAATGTAGATTCTGGTTTGGTGCCAGTGCTGACCCTGGAGCTACTCAGAAAAAATCTCAGAGTACATTGAGGCCAGTTGCTGCCTGCTTGGGGCATGTGGATGCTGAAAATTTTTCAAGAAAGTGTGCAATGTTTGCGGGGCTGGTTGCTTGCTAAAAAAGTGCCTCTGGCTTGGGGGATTTGGGTAGGGCAGGATTCCAGGGAAACAGCAGGGTAGAGCAATGGAGCTCAACAGACTAATTCAGATTCAGATTTGGTCATGCGCATGGAGGGAGGGCTCAATACAGGAAAGATGGCACCCACCTGCCAGCTGCAGTGGACTAAGACCCCACACAGTGAAAATGGCAACTTTCTCTCCAGTCCTCGCTCTGCAGCCACACATGTCAGTTTGCTCCCCACTATGCTTCCAACATCCCCTGAGTTATTCTCCCTCTGCTGGAGCCCAGGGTGAGTGTCTGTGAGTGAGTGAGTCTGTGTGCAGCCCTTTAAGAGGATGTCTGGGTTTCCTATAGCCTTCCATCCCACCCAGATGGTCAGAATCCCCACTCTTTTTCACAGCTAGATGTGTGGGCTCCTCTTCCCAGCACCAGTACTCTGGTTTGGGGAGCCTGCTGTGGGGCTGGGGCCCTTACTCCTCCTAAGGGAACCTCTAAGGCCAAGATATCCCTCCCGATTCTCATCTGCCACATGCAGCTGTGGAGCCAGCCCTTTCCACGTCTCTGCCCCTCCTACCAGTCTTGACACAACTTCTTTACATCCTTAGTTATAAAACTTTTGTTCAGCTAGACTGCAGATGGGTCTTCGGGTTGATTGTTTATAATTTAGTTGTAATTTTAATGTGTTCATGGGAGGAGGCAAGATAGCATTTATCTACTCCACCATCTTGAATCTTTACCTTGGGCAATCTTACTGGTTCCTGTTTAGCATGTTCAATTAACATTGCTTGAAGGGTGGAGTTATATGCCTTTTGTTTTACAACCCTAGGTAGGGGGAACATTCTCCAGTCAGATACAGTGTTCATCCCCATAATACAATCAGGTGAAAGAGATGCAACCACTTTACACAAAGCCTGTTTAAACATACCAATTGTCCTACAAATGTTTACCTTAATTCCATCAACTTTTATGTCCCTAACTGCAGCTTCTACTAGGGCTTCATCAACAAGTTTTGGTTTTACAGTACTGGGTTGGGGAAGTATTTCACCACCAGACATAATATCCATTCCCATAAAACATTTAGGTAAAGGAGACACAACTTCTTTACATAAAACCTGGTCAAACATTCCAACTCTCATAATCCTATCAACCCTTATATTTATATATTATTTCAATCTAATTATAGCTTGAGTCAGGGCTTCACCAATGGGTTTTGGTACCAGAATTTGTGGGAGTCCCATATTAATGAGTCCTGGAAATTTCTCTTTTCCACCCCCTGACCATTTTAAACACCCTGTACAAAAGGCTTTGAGTCCCATGCCAGGGGTGGAGCCAAGGGACCCTGGCCCTTTTGTCACTATATCTTGCTTAATTTGCCTAACCACTGCCCCAAGTGATTGCTGGTCATGTTTCTCATTGTAATTTTTGCCCTCTGTTTTTTTTTTTAGTTGAGCCATCCTGCCACCTGTTGTCAGCTCAGCAGCAGCTCAGCTCGGGTCAGGACTCAAACCGCTGTTGCTCAGAGCTCGCACTCTTGAGCCACTTGGCTGGCCGTGCCTTCTGGCTTTTAAAATTTCTCTAGCCTGAGGTGGAGTGGGTTTTTTGAGGCCCTTTAATGTTGGGGGACCAGCACAGGGTCCCTTTGTCCCACCGAATCTTTGGTCATACTGTATGAAAACCTTTGTTTTAACCGCATCGATGTCCATTTTATTCATCTTCTTTTTTTTTAAAAAAAAGATTTTATTGGGGAATTGGAACAGCGCTGGGGAATTGGGGGAAGGGATCAGACAAGTTGCTGTTGTTTTGTTCTTAACCACTGCACCACTCGGTCGGCCCTCATCTTATTCCTTAATAGCCATCTAAAGATTTCCATCCTGCTGGGACAAGCCCTGTGACTCTCCCCTTTCTGTTTCCTCTTTGTTTCTTCTCCTATCAATATTTTCTTTATTTACCTTATTTCTTAATAACTGTTTAAAAATTTCCACCTTTTTGGCCTCTTCTTATTCTCTTGTTAATTAACCTATTTATGTTTAATTAGCATGTATAAGACCCAGGCATGGAAGCTGAGACAGAAAATTCAATTAGTCTTCCTCAACTGTCCCTGTTTGGCAGCAGTAAGGTTATATGGGGTGCCCATGTGACAGTGGCCCCCTTAACTATAGCATTTACCATGACTTGCGTAACAGGCGTATTCAGGGATAGATATTACAGTCATCATAAAGCCAGGCCCATATGACTTGTAAATGAAGCATATCAGCTGCTTCGTCTTGGCATTCATAGGGGGAGATAGACAATCCCCATTCTTGGGGTAAACAGATGTTAGTGGCTTTTAGCCAGTCCACAAGGCTGGCTGTTCCTTTGGGAATAACCTCCTTTGTGTCTGGCTCACATATAGCCATCTGTGATTGTTCCATAGTGAGCTGTGGGTCCTGCACCAACCTAAACATGCTCTTCCATTCTGCAGCATTCAAAACAAAGACATAGCTCCCAAATGAGTCACTCTCATAGTCCATTTCAGTATAAGTTCCTCAGGAAGCTGATGATATTGAACTACAAAATGAAACAACTCTTTCACACTATACTTCCTGGTTTCAATAGTTCCTTGCCCTCTCCATACATTGACAACCTTCTTGCTGACCAGAAGTCTTAGAAGTATTTCCTATTGTCACTGCATAATTTTTCCCTTGGTGGGGCAGCTTCGAGGCTGGTGGCCCAAGCTCAGACTGATCGAAATCTGAGCTTGGTTTAGTATCAAGGCCCAACCCAGCACTTTCTTTTACTTTCATTTAGCTATTACAGAAAACAATAATCAAGGGATTGCATGTTTAGCATGCTTCTTATTATTTTACATTTCCTTGTAAGTCCAGTGAGCCAACTCAGAGTCAGGTTTACTGCCATTTGTAAATTCCACTGGTAACTTTTACCTTTAGTAACTTATCACAGCACAACTGCAGTTTCATACCATGGATGACTACAATAGGTAGTCATCCAGGGATCAAAGGTTCATAATCCCTTGCCTTTTTAACCTTTCTCTTCCCAAACCACTGCATGTTTCTGTGAGCCAGGGATATTCTAGCAAATTCCATTTCTCTGACACCAACATTTATCTGAACTCAATTCCAACATATAGGTATTGGGCGGTTTCCCCTGACACTACCAATTTTCTGACACCTGCTGGGTGTCCTACAGTTCAACTCATAGCTGACATGCTGGGTGATAGTGTCAGATTCCATGAGTTAAGGGCTCAGTTCCACAAGACTGCCCCCTTACCTCCTCCCCCACCCCACAGACTTCAGATCCTAGTTGCAAGTCTAGGTTGTTACTACAGGCAAGGCTCCAAGGACTCCCAACTCAGATTTGATTAATTTTCTAGAGTGGCTCATGGAACTCAGAGAAACATTTTACTTATTAGATCACCCATTTATTATAAAAGGATATAACTTAGGAACAGCTAGATACCCAGGTATGAAGAACAGGTGCAGGACTTACATGCCCCCTTTAAGCACATTAGACTCTCCTCAAATCTCCAACAACCCAGAGGCTCTCAGAAACTCATCCTTTTGGGGTTTTATGGAGGCTTCATCACATAGGCATGATATATTAAATTCATTGGCCATTGGTGATTGAACTCAATCTCTAGCTGCTCTCCCCTCCCCAGAGGTCAGGGGGGTGGGACTGAAAGTCCCAGCCCTCTAATCACATGGTTGGCTCTGCTGGCTACCAGCCCCCTTCCTTGGGTGCTTTCTAAAGTTCACCTCAGTAACACAACAAAAGACACATTTATCGCTCTCATCACTTAGGAAATTCCAAGGCTTTTAGGAGCTCTGTGCCAGAAAGGGGGGGGATAGAGACCAAATACATGTTTCTTATTATAAATCACAATATCACAGTGTTCATTAAGATATTTTTGCATCCTTCCTTTTTCTTTGTTCTTGATTCAGAATAATTAAGTTAGCTTTGGTAATCAGAGGAATAGCTTTGCTGTTTCATTTTGTTGGTGAGTGATGCTTTTTTGAGTGAGGAATTATTTACCCTCCTTGCATTAATGCCTTTAAAAATATGGGATGCCACCAAAATAGTTTAGAACTAACTCTTTCAGTGAGTTACTGTGAGCCCAGTTAGGTGTTTGTCTCTTTTCTCCCAACCCTAACTTCACCTCCTCTCCTAGTCCCCTGTAGGGTCCTTCCTCCACTTCAGACCTTTTGAGTTGTTCCATGAATGAGCTTTGTGTGTACTGTCAAGAGGCAGTGATGAAGCTGTGGACTGAAAATAAGGCAGAGAAGGAGAAGGCAGAAAAAAAGGCACAAGAGGTGTGTAGGAGGGTCTTACGTGGAGAAAGCATTGTTCTGTTTCTCACATCGGATCCCCTTGCAGTTGTTCGGCTCATCAATTGCTCTGGTCTCATAATAAAAGTAAAGCTGGTTCAATCCATTGGCAAAAGCCAGCAGGACTAGGCAGTAGATAAAGAGGAATTTGAGGATATCAAGCAGCATACGCCCCAAAGAGATCTGCAGAGGCCCTAAATGGGAGTTGGCTGTGAACAAGGATATGAGACGCAACGAACTTAAAATATTGGATATCGCAAAGAGTGCTTCTGCAATCAGAGTTGGATGCCACATTTCCCATTCTTCCCTTGGACGAGAACCATTATACTGAAAGAAACAAGTGCATAAGATGAGAGGCACAGTGAGCATTTGTCAAACTTTCCCCCCTTTCCTCCCTTTTGCACCCAAATAAAGGCACCAAAGTAAGCATCAAGCATTCATTTATACAACAGACCCCATCCATGGCACTATTTTTTCCCCATTCAACCAATACATGATGCTAATAACTCTTCTTCCCACTCCCATCCAAATATATACCCAGCATACAAACATAGAAAAATGAATTTCGGAGCTATCACTTGAGGCTTAACCATAGAAATTTTCTAACTGAGTTTGCCAGACTGTTGGGGAATGTCACTGGAACTGAGCCACTCATATGCCCAAGGTAGTGGGGACAAACTTCTCTGCTTCCTAATGAGATTTCAAATCAGATTTACCTTCTCAGTCCCCCATTTTATTCTGAGCACTACAGACAAGTTGTTCCTGAAGGGATAGGTTCAGCCTCCTCAGTGTGCAGTATTTATCCTGACTTCCCTGCTGACTATAGTTTGGGGCTGATTGAACATCCTTAGAGGGTCATTGCTCAGTGTCCTGCTGAATTTTTAGCAGTCTGTAATGTATTCCATACTCTTACAAATGGCATGTTAACCTTTCATGTAGTGAATTTAGTACTGCCCACAAAGTGGTGTATGGATTTTTTTTATTGTTCCTTTGATAGCCCTACAAAGTTCAAATGTCCCTCTAGCACAAATGAAAAACCTGGGGATTAAAGGATAGGAAGAGCCAGTATTTCTGGGGTTGTTACCCATTTTTCAGCCCTGTCTTGGACTTCCAGGAACATTGGGTATCTCCTTGTAGAAAGATGGCTTTATTGTAAGACCTAAGGTGCAATTGGACTTTGTCACTTAAAACTGCCTCTATCCCTCAACTTCACCATATCATGAGGATAATATCTATTCCTACCCACTACACACATTTGTGATTATGTATCCAAATGTGAAAGCCTGTGTATTCCATAAGGGGAGATGTTATGGAAATACAAGAAATTCCTTATTACCTGCCCAAGACAGAAGTAGATTTTGCCTGGAATTCAATCTGAAGCATATTGCCTTGAGCTCTCACCTAAATATCACAATTTCTCAGGACGAAATGTGCACAACTTTCCTGAGGAAAAAAGTTGCACTGGGGGCCAAATTATATTGTTAGCACTTCTAAAATATGCTTCAGTTCCAGTAACTGAGGAAACTGGTGTTAAAATCACTTGTGTGTATTCAATAGTCTTTACTGTCAAAGATGAGTTTGGAGAATGTAGACATACCAGATTTGGCTAAGAATGCATAAAACTGATTGGCCACCTAGAGTCCATTTTTCTTCCAAGAAAACATTTGCTGCATTGCTGTGAGGGGGTGGGCATTGTTATGCTTATTTTACAATTGGAGGAACATGAAATACAGGGAGGCAGAGTGACTTGCTTAAGATCACACAGCAAGTTGATGGCAGAGCCAGGACTAAAACTCAGGTCTCTAAACAGTCTAGCACTATTTCTATTATGAGTTACTTATATTATAATTAACATCACAGCCCATATGTTAAATAGGCCTTTAAAGGTTTTGAAGTATATGTGAAAGATGGAGACTGCTGATAACAAAACAGACCTGTTTTAAAACTAGATACTATCAACTGGAAAATGTAGAGCTCATAATTTAGGGTTTTCTCTCTCTATAGCCACAACTATAACCACAGGGAAGTCTGCTGCCCATGGGATGATGAGTCTGGATTTGCAGAACACTCAGAAATGTGAAAGATGATTCTTGTGGCAAATCTATGCTTTGTACATACTTTTGCAGAAAGATATTGTAGAATATGGGAGTTGGGAATAACTTTGGAGCTCATTTAGCATGGAGGTCAGCAAACATTTTCTGTCAAGGGCCAGATAGTACATATTTTTTTGGTTTTGTGGGCCATATGGGCCTTACAGCCACAATTCAACTTTTTTCTTGTAGAACTAATAGACAATATGTAAACAAATGGTTGTGGAAGAAGGCCAAAGTTTCCCTGCAGACCATAGTTTGCGGACCTCTGATCTAACACAAGTGATTTTCCAACTGTGTTCCTTGAAGCCTGAGGGTTCATAAGAGGCATCTGCTGACCACTGTGAGAGCCAAAGAGGAGGCCAAGAAGACCCATTCCTTAATCCAAATTCAATCCATTAATCTCTTTAATATATTGAAGTGCTACGTAAGTTTTAATTTCAAGATGTGGTCCCATGGAAAAAATAAAAAAGTTGAAAGCCACTGATCTAGTCCAATCTTATCTTTCAGAGGCATAATCTAAGACTAAGGGAGGTAGAAGGATGACCTATGTAACCCAGTTTGTGATAATCAGAGCAGGGATTAAACTCAGGTTTCCTGACTCTTGAATTAGTGATATTGGGAGGCAAGTGATTTTTCTTATATTCTTTGAGGTGGAATGTACCTTGAAAATTGGCCTCCATGCCTTTCAAAGGGGTGTAAATTGCACTCTGTCAACTCAAAAGTAAAATAGGAAGAGGGACAGTCTAATGTGGGGACTCAGTCATAACAAGTGTGGGTGTGTGTACGCCTGTAGCCAAATACTTGGTAAAGAAAGAACCACAACTCAATAGCATCAGAGTTCAGATTTAGTCTATACATAAGGAAGTAAGGTGGTGGTGGAATAAATCTAGGTGGTTCTATCCTAGGTGACAAAAGGACAATTATTCTCCATTTGTAGAGTTGTCTGGGGCACTGAGGGACAACTTTATGTGTATTTGTTCCTTTTGATTATTTTGATGTGTGCCTTTCAGTTTCTGTTGTAGACCATGTAAGGTGAATATATATAATATATATATATATATATATATAATATTATATATATATATATATATATATATATATATATAGAGAGAGAGAGAGAGAGAGAGAGAGAGAGACTGGTTTTTTTACTCTTATCAAGGATTTTCTTTAAAGTCAGCTTATCCCATGGTGCTTCTGTGCTTTCTCAGTACAACAGTGATCTGAAATGTTTCGAGGGGCCTGGTGACCAGCTCTTGTGACTTTACCTCATAGAGGTTGGCTCATCCTACTTGGAGAAGTTCATCTCAGGCTGGTGTGCTCTGTGGATGAATGGACCAGACTGTCCATTTATAATTTCTCATTGGAAATCCAAAGTCTGCATGTGACATGTCTTGCTTTGTAAATTTTCCCTTTTTGAGAAGGACTCCAACTTCTTGGCAAATGTCTCCTTTGAGTTAAGTGTTTGTCAGTTGAAGGGCATTTACTAAGCTTAGTAGAGCTGATTTATCCTTACAGTCTGAGGTGGGGAAGTGTCTAGCTACTTGGAAGCCTGACCAGTGAAGTTGGACAGGTTATGTAATTAGCTAATGTTGGGCATCTGTAGACACATTTTCACATCCCCAAGAGTTAATCCTCTTCTAGATCACTTATTCTAAACTTTCCTGTTTAAGCAAAACCCACCATTTTCTAAATTGATAACTACTTGTCCCTCCAGTGTATAAATATAATTCTAAAGGAAGAAATTTGCTTATTTTTAGGCAAACATTGTTACTTAGTCAGCAGATTGCCAGAATGACATGGATTTCATCCAGGCACATTAACTAGAGTTTCAAACATTTTCCCTATGAGGTTTCTCTTGTAAGGAAGTTGTAAGTATATGTTAAATGATCACCACAAGTATAAGGCATATTCTTAGGCTTCTTTCAAAAATGTTTCATGACTGCATTTAATATTCATGCTCCGTATAACTAACTCCCAATGTCTTAAAATTTATGCAATATGCATATTAGAGATATAAAAATAAACTAAGTTGTTGGATATTTGGGGGACAGCCATATTCTCATTCTAAAACTTCTTAATGTGAGGTTTAGTGTCAGAAAGCATGATTGACTAGATAATCTTGAAGACTGACTTGTCAGCCTTTCCTCATGCTGGAGAAATTCAACTCAGGGTGGAAGGAAGATGGCCATTCCATTATCTAATGAGCACCAAATCTAAATTTAGAGTCTGTGACTACCCAATGGGAAGGGCTGGACATGCAATGATTTTTTAGAAGAATTAATTGTGCAAGAAAAGCATCAAGGTGGGGTGTGTGTGTGTGTGTGTGTGTGTGTGTGTGTATTAGCTTAGTTGGTAGAGAGGCAAAGGCTGGGTGATACTAAAAAAGCTGGATTCCTAACAGCTTGAATGATCATCCTAGTGGTGTAAGTGTTGAGGGAGGCAGACACGATTAAAGATCTATGTCTCCTGCAGTGAAATTTCTAGTGTTGTGCTGTTTGTCATATGAAGAACACTTGAAGGAAGTGTGAATATTTAGCTTTGAGAAGAGACAACTCAGTAGGTTAGGGAGACATGACTTCATATTGGTAATGCTGTTATGGAGAAGGAACAGCTTTGTTCTGTTTGATTCCACAGGGAAAGCTTACTAATGAATATGTCACAGGGAGAACAATATTAGAAAATATAAAGTTAGCATTTTTTAATGGAGTGACAAGGGTTGAGAGGGGCTTTTGAAGTAGTGAATTCAGTGAATTTTCTGTTCCTGTCCTATGCAAGAATCCATGGGCCATCTTCTTGGGAAAGATATTGTAGGGAAGATTGAAACAATGACTGGGTGGATGGGTATCTAAAGACCCTTTTACTCTCTGAGTTTAAGCAGCTAAGGATTCATTTGCAAATTGCTCCATTGTCTACTTTCTTTGTTTAGATGGACACTGCTTACAAACCATTGAAAGAATGTCTGTTTATATGGTACTTCCCCGCATGGTTGGACTGTAATCAGCACTTTTCCACTAAACTCTTTAGGTTTCAGTGCTAAAGTTTAATGTATCCAAAATCATTGCTTAAGAAAAATGGTTGACATTCTAAGTTACCTTGACATAGGCCACAATCTTCAAGGAAATAGTTGCCAGGTAGAGTGAGTTCATTGCAAAATCCATCAGGTTCCACCAGTCGTGGATGTATTCAGTAAATCCACCATCCCACATTTCCTTAATCTCCCCCCAAATGAAACCTGAAGAACAGAGGCAAAAGGTTAATTTCTTCACAGGGTCAGAGTAATCATCATATTCATCATAGTCAGGCTACTCCAAGTAAAGAAAGGTGAAATAAATGAATTAATGGGGGTGAGTGGACTGAAGTCCCTAGAGGGGATAATCACTTATCTCTCTTTCCGATCTCACCTCCCCATCTTGAACTTATCAAACCTTTACCAGAAGTGCATATATATTATACTTTTCTGGCTAATACTCACTTTTACCATTGTTACTATAATTACTGGAATGTTGTTATAGTTTTTGGTGCTTGATTCTACCCTCTTCCCATTTTACTAATTTCATCAGTAAATTAATGAGGTCAGTATTATCTCATAGTCCTTAGATTCCACTATGTGCTAGCAGCGGTTCTCAACCTGTGGGTCATGACCCCTTTGGGGGTCGAATGACCCTTTCACAGGGGTTGCCTAAGACCATCAGAAAACAAAAAGATAAGGGCCGGCTGAGTGGCTCAGTTGGTTAAGAGCTCGCTCAAGAGTTTGAGCTCTGAGCAACAGTGGTTCG